CAAACGACAATCACCCGATGTCTCGCTTGCGACAACATCCTCGCCGCCTTCTTGTCGCCACTCCGCCAAACGACAACTGCCCGATCCTTCTTGTCGCCGCTTGAATGACAATTGCCCGTTTCTCCCCTTCGCTGCACCATCAGCGGTCGCATCGCCCGCTCTTCTTCGTCGTTGCACCACCCAACGACAGTATCGCCCGCCCCGAGGCGCTAGTCGGGTCGCCACCCCGGGGCAAGCACGCTTCACCGCGACCTTGCTTTGATACCAATTGTTGGAAATCCACCCACAGGATCAATCACATAAAATCACACGAACACACGCACACACAAAACTGATAGCCAAGGCACTTGTCGTGCCCTCTTTTCTCTTTATTTCTTTTTCTATTTTCTCAACTCAATACAATAAAACTCACGCACCTGCCCATCTATATATAGATGCAGGACCTGACTCCACGCCACCGACCTGAACTCAAAATTCCTAATATACACGGACACGTACTAGCTAAGCTAACCGGACTCAGACTAGTCCTACTCTAATACAACGACCGGACTCCTAACCGGACTGACGCTTACGAGACTAACCAAAACTCGCTCGGGCAAACACACGTAGCACAAGCTGCTTCAACTAGTACTAACTCAACTTACCTAATCTGATCACCGGCAACGCTGATCCCAATACTAACTCTAACCGGGCACAACTATCACATGTTTAGATTACTCCAACATTCACCCCCTAATCTAAACATCTAACTTTTTACTTGACGAGACATGCAGACGATCACCTCTTTATCTTGCCCCGCCGAATGCTCCCGGTGACGCAACTTACCGGACCACAACTTGTCTCTTCTTGAACGATGACCACTTCATAAACATCTTTCTCATGCCGACTTGTAGACTGAAACCAACGATTACCCGGACTACCAGCCACGCTACCACATCTTAGCGTGCCACATGCAAACTAAATGCATAGCTTCATGCAGGAACTCAACTTAACTGGTGCGCCTCCATCTTCGCGTTGATCTTCATCTTCACGTCGGTTGCTTGCACACAGGGAGACACATCTCTTCACCCGTCACATCTTCACATCTTCTCAGTGTCGCCGATGCCACATCTTATCAAACGACACCTCCTGTCCGATGGCAACACAACTTGCCATATACGTGCAACTCATCTCCACCGTATATGAACACGCCGGAACTCCACTACCACGAACCGAAACGCAAGGCACAATTTCCTTTTTCGATCCGCTCTCACTCTCAACTCTCCTGCCAGTGACGCATCTCAACTACAGCAGAAGATTCACACACCTCAGCTCTTGGATGCACCTTACAAGAACTCCTGTGCACACTTGACGACAGCTCGCAACTTTGTCGCCTCTTCCTCGCTCTAGCACCGCACCTCGGCACTACCGCTCCCGTCAACCTCCTCCATGTCGTTTCGTCAAACGACAATCACCCGACGTCTCGCTTGCGACAACATCCTCGCCGCCTTCTTGTCGCCACTCCGCCAAACGACAACTGCCCAATCCTCCTTGTCGCCGCTTGAACGACAATTGCCCATTTCTCCCCTTCGCTGCACCATCAGCGGTGGCATCGCCCGCTCTTCTTCGTCGTTGCACCACCCAACGACAGTATCGCCCGCCCCGAGGCGCTAGTCGGGTCGCCACCCTGGGGCAAGCACGCTTCACCGTGACCTTGCTCTGATACCAATTGTTGGAAATCCACCCACAGGATCAATCACATAAAATCACACGAACACACGCACACACAAAACTGATAGCCAAGGCCCTTGTCGTGCCCTCTTTTCTCTTTATTTCTTTTTCTATTTTCTCAACTCAATACAATAAAACTCACGCACCTGCCCATCTATATATAGATGCAGGACCTGACTCCACGCCACCGACCTGAACTCAAAATTCCTAATATACACGGACACGTACTAGCAAAGCTAACCGGACTCAGACTAGTCCTACTCTAATACAACGACCGGACTCCTAACCGGACTGACGCTTACGAGACTAACCAAAACTCGCTCGGGCAAACACACGTAGCACAAGCTGCTTCAACTAGTACTAACTCAACTTACCTAATCTGATCACCGGCAACGCTGATCCCAATACTAACTCTAACCGGGCACAACTATCACATGTTTAGATTACTCCAACATTCACCCCCTAATCTAAACATCTAACTTTTTACTTGACGAGACATGCAGACGATCACCTCTTTATCTTGCCCTGCCGAATGCTCCCGGTGACGCAACTTACCGGACCACAACTTGTCTCTTCTTAAACGATGACCACTTCATAAACATCTTTCTCATGCCGACTTGTAGACTGAAACCAACGATTACCCGGACTACCAGCCACGCTACCACATCTTAGCGTGCCACATGCAAACTAAACGCATAGCTTCATGCAGGAACTCAACTTAACTGGTGCGCCTCCATCTTCGCGTTGATCTTCATCTTCACGTCGGTTGCTTGCACACAGGGAGACACATCTCTTCACCCGTCACATCTTCACATCTTCTCAGTGTCGCCGATGCCACATCTTATCAAACGACACCTCCTGTCCGACGGCAACACAACTTGCCATATACGTGCAACTCATCTCCACCGTATATGAACACGCCGGAACTCCACTACCACGAACCGAAACGCAAGGCACAATTTCCTTTTTCGATCCGCTCTCACTCTCAACTCTCCTGCCAGTGACGCATCTCAACTACAGCAGAAGATTCACACACCTCAGCTCTTGGATGCACCTTACAAGAA